CACGCGCTGCGAATCCACCGGGATGGTTGGATCCCCTCCACCGGCCAGTCCGTGGATGGCCCTACACCGAGCGGCCGTATCCCAAACCCGTCACCACCAGTTCGTGGGACCAGCCCCAGCACGTCCCCACCCAGGACGGACCTAGCTTTTTCTGCCGTGAAAACAACATTTGGAAATGGTGGTTCTGATACCGAACAATCCTCCACTACTCTTGATTTGGCTTTAGCATGTTTCTTATGACCTGGACAAAAAAACAACAAGCTGAGCCATGACTCACGAAGGTCCTTGACCCTAAAGACCTCTGAAGCCCGCACTCCTCGCAGCAGCTTCTCTTCGAGGCTAGGACCTCGATACACTCACCAGCCCATCGTGGGCCGGGAAGCCAGTGGATAGGAACATATATGAACGAAGCCAGCATTGTCGTCGAAGCTTTGCATTGTCTGATCGAAGCTTTGCATTGTCTGATCGAAGCTTTGCATGGACTTCATCCCCACAGAACGAAGAACAAAGAAGGAGCAGCGAAACCTTCTTTTTGTACACCACTTTCTAAACTGAAGTGTTTGCATGTTTTTAGCATCCGATTGGATGCAGGCTTGATAGCTTTGACAAGGGTGGACCAAATGTGGGATGTACGCGAAAAGCCTTTAAGGTCAAGGTGTTGCGGCCGACCTAAGCACCACTTCTCACTGCGCGAGAGACCCGGAAGCAAGAACTGGGCTGGATCTGCATCAAGAACAGGGTGATATGGTATTCTTGCCCCATCGACATATTATATGATCTGTGCTTTTGCCATCAGCACAATTGTGGCCTTAGGTCCAGCAGTGTCCGTCTGAGTTGTGAATACCTAGCAGGACGCATAGAACTTGTTTGGACACGTTGGATCTCATCATATCTCATCACACAGACCAATGTGCTGTTGTTCAATTGTGCAGTCAAACAATATATGTCCATCCCGGAATAAATCCAAGATCTCTGTCGTTGCCAAAGCCGTCGCGCGTTGTCTCCTCCAAGTCCTCGACGGCCGGCCGTGACGTCGCCCGCCACGACCGCCTCGTAACAGCGAGGCCTCGTGTCCGGGACCGGTGGCGGTGCCTGGGACCGGTACACCATGCGAGAGTTCGTGGCCATGCTGGCTAAGTCGACGAAGAAAATAGAATTATAGAAAAATATATATCCCAAGTCGCATCATGTCGCATCGCATATCATATGGGCGTGTCTTTGAGATCAAGACCGATTTTCCGAACCTTCCAGTGGTCGTTGCCTGGTCTTGGTCTCCCTATTTGACACGCCGACCCTGCACCATGGCCCGGCCTGTATTCCTGGTACGGAGACTGACGAGACTGTGACAAGGGGGAAAGCCTTGTCTCTTTCCGAATTAGCATTAAATGGATGTAAACAGCATCAAAAACCCTCCCCAAAATTCAAACACTTTCTACAGCTGAGTTCTGAAAAACAAGCCATTGACCTTCTTCGCCTTCCACCCAGAGCCCCCCCCCGCTTTTCGTCTGCGTCCCGCTCAGCTTCGTGCACTTCCGAGGAGGGTCTCAGAAGCTTCGCGGTGAGCCTGGCGGGTTCCGTCCATCGACAGGGTCCACCGACGAACCACTGGAGGGGTCGGAGACTGTCGAAGACTGAAGACTCGGCACTTGTTACTACTAGCGTCCTTGTTACTACTAGCGTGGCACCTGTTACTACTAGCGTGGCACTTGT